GGGCAGCCACAAGGGCCACCCGATTTGCCTCCGCGGCAGCAGCGACGACGTTGGCGGCGACGACAGGGAGGGCCGCTTCGGCGGCGACGAGGGCACGGTACTCCTCATCCAGGAACCAGGGCAGCTATCCACCCGATGGTCAGCCACAACCAACCAACCGAACACCACAAGGAAACGCACCGAGACGCAGGGAGAGTGCTGGCCAGTGCAGTACTCGCACTTCGACGACGAGGGAGACCAGACGCAGGCATGCGCCTGGACTCCCCGAGCTTTGGCCCGAAGGCAATGCAAATAGAGGACGCGGAAAGCGACCGACAAGGCTCCGGCAGGAGGTGGGACCGGCATCTTCAAGTTGGGATCTATAATCCTGTCAGTTGAGCCCACATTATCACCCGCACCCCGAGCGCGTTCCCGTCACCTACTCGTTCGTGTGGAAATTGTATATTCTAAAACAATCAATTAGTATACAGATATATGAATGGAGGGGGCCACTTACCAGTGTCGGATCGGCGTTCGCTGGCATTGTTGTTGAAAGGAAACAAACAAGAGAAAGTGGGCGAAGCGGAGTACTCAAATGTTGGCTTACAACAATAAATTCTAAATCGGGCTAGCGCAACCACTCCCCCTTTCACGTTTCTGAAGGTTCGACTCAAACGATTAGCGGATACTTTCCGGGGCCCAGTCGGACCACGAAGATGGAAGTGAGATCAAACAAAGCCAACTCCAGTGTCGCATTCCACGAGGTGGTGTTACGGTACCCTTCACGAACAGCCACCTCCGCACACAAGCACACCCCGACACATTTTAGAAACGGAGAGGTTACGGAAAGTACCCTGATGGCGTGCTTGCGGACAAAGCACCCTCTTAGAAGGGGGGTAGTGTAAGGATGCCCTCTCGTCTCTCACTCTAAGGAGCAGACCAGGAGCAGACTCTGAGTAGCTGCGGGTCACGTGTGATCATTTGGGCAGGCTAACCAAGTCGGAGGGGTTTCGGGTACTTGAGGGAAATGACTCACGGGTTCCCCCTTCATCTTTTTTCCCTTCATCTTTTTTCCCTTCATCTTTTTTCCCTTCATCTTTTTTCCCTTCATCTTTTTTCCCTTCATCTTTTTTCCCTTCATCTTTTTTGTATCCTTCGTAGTAGACCTATAGGATAGCATCCGTTTAGCCTCCGACTCACACTCTCATATGCTATTACTGTGAGCTGGGTGCCCTGTGTCTTACACTTGAAGGGGACATCTTCCAGAAAAGCCCTGTCTCATCCATGTTATAGATATTGTCCTCCTCAAAATCCCCAGCAATAGTCTGAATAGCTCGCATCTCTTCTTCTGCAGTCTCACTAACTGACCCTGCTTCACCATGTTGGATGTGAACTCGTATGTTATGCCTTTTTCTGAAATTAATGATCTGTAAGGACACAGGGCACCCAGCTCACAGTAATAGCATATGAGAGTGCGAGTCGGAGGCTAAACGGATGCTATCCTATAGGTCTACTATGAAGGATACAAAAAAGATGAAGAGAGGAACCCCCGTTGGGTCAATCTCCTTAAGTACCCGAAACGGGTCCGACTTGGCTAACCTGCCTTCACTCTCACCACGTGACCGTGACTTGTCCGACTCAGATACCTTCCGTCACTGAGGGAGAGGGACCCCGTTGGGTAAATCCCCTTAAGTACCCGAAACGGGTCCTAACCTGCCTTAACTTTTATCATGTGACCGTAACCTGCCCGACTCAGATCCTTTCCGTCACTGAGGGACAGGCATCCTTACATGATCCAGCCGTAACTGAACTCTGGTGTAGGCTGGTCTTTGTATTCAGGAAGCTGTTCCCAGATCTCCTTCGCCTTCTTCTGTAGAATCTCTGTTGTTGTAATAGCCCCACGTTCCTCTACAAGCCTCTGTCAGTCGTAAAGGACTGCTTCAAGAAGTGGCCAGGCTGGCGCTTTCTGTCGACAAGCTTTGGCCTGGTGTGTAGGAGTCTGCTGGATACTGTCGACTTTGTCGTATTGAGGGCCAAGAGATGTAGAGACTGTTGACTGGGTAAAACAGTGGTAATATTGGCTGAAGAACCATTCGATACAGGCTTTCTGAGACGGTCGAGGATATTGGCTTCGGTGCCAGCTTCGGAGTGCATGTCGCTGCTCATTTGTGATCGCCTGCTGCTTTTTTTAGAGGCATTTCGACAAAAGGACACAGGAATACTATAACACGATATTGACGTAATAGGACTTGATATTCTGTATATCGTGATTTGTATGAGAAATCAAAGATTCCCAGGAAAAATATCGTGTTGTCGTGAATATCGCGTAATCGTGTAATCGGGTGTGGAAGCAAGTTGCGCGCTCTCGCTTAAAAGTGGAAGCAAGTTGCGCGCTCTCAACACCTGCATATGTTCACCGCTACTCTTTACTAAAACCTCGAACATTCCCCCATATAGTAATTTATATAGTAATCAAATGTAATTCATTTAATGGAAGGGACACCTCTATCAAATGCCTGTGAATGGCTAGCAGCAAACCCCTCTGAAGCTGTCAGTACTGCAAGTCGGATTTTTAAGGTCCCACAGTCGACTATACGGTCGAAAATCACCCGAGCAGCTCAAGCAGCCCGGAAGCCGCCCCATGGAGGTCATAATAGGGTGCTTTCTACAGGCCAGACCGAGGCCCTAAAGACCTGGATTACAGAGCAATACCACCTAGGGCTTGGAGCTAATAGGCATATGGTCTACGGGGCTGTATGCCACCTCCGGAGCCCACTACCTCCACCGTCACAGAGCTGGCTTGCTAAATATATGAAGAATGAGCTTAAAGCTGATTTCCACTTTATTACTACAAAGCCTATTGCACAACAGCGTACGAAAGCTCAACAGGAGCCTACTGTTATTAAGTGGTTTAAAGAGTACACGGAATTAGTAGTACAGCGTGGTATAAAGCCAGAGTCAATCTGGAATATGGATGAAACTGGATTTAGGGTCGGAATTCCAGGGGGTGAGAGGGTCTTAGTCCCCCGAGCTGTAAAGCAGCTCTATACTACGAGCCCTGAGAATCGTATATCTATTACGATTATAGAGGCAGTATCTGCAGGTGGACAGAAGATTCCACCTGTACTTGTTGTACCAGGTAAAATACATATGGAGGCGTGGTACCCAGAGAACCTTAGTGGCGACGAGCTAATACTACTCTCAGAAACTGGCTATTCTAATAGCCAGCTTGCTCTACGGTGGTTACGGCACTTTATAGAGCATACTGCTCCACATAGCCCGGGAAATCCTAAGCTTCTACTACTCGATTCTCATGTGAGCCATACGAGCCCTGAGTTCGTTATTCTAGCTGCAGATTATCACATCATCATATTCCCGTTTCCCAGCCACCTTACACACATTCTACAGCCATTAGACGTGGGAATATTCCAGCCTTATAAGCACTGGCATAGGCAGGCTGTGCTCTGTGCTATACGGGAAATAGACCCTTCCTACAACTTAGCCCTATTTATAGGAGATCTCCCACGCATGCGGGAGCTTACCTTCAAGGAGTCCACTATACAGTCAGCGTTCCAGAAAGCTGGCATCTGGCCTATAAGCTGTGATATTGCCCTAGAGAAGCTGCGTACGTACTCGCAGCCTACGCCTACAGGGCCTATAGGGCCTACTACGCCTACCTTACCACGGCCTATAACGCCTATACCCACTACGTTCCAGGGTGTAGAACGGGGCCTACAGCGATGGAAAGACCGGCTTCCGGAGGCCTTTAGTAGCCCCTCACGCCAGAGCTACAGTAACTGGTCCACTGGGGCCGCCCGGGTTCTGGCTACCGGCCAGCTCCAGGAACTCGACCTACAGGCTATTCGGCATCAGGTCCAGAACTCAAAGAGGAAGCGGGGGGGCCGCGGCCGGCTCCAGGTTGGAGGTGAGCTCCGGGCTTCTGAAGCCCACAAGCTTCTAGCCCAGAAAGCCGAGCTTCAGGCCCAGAAGCTCGCTGCTGCCGAAGCCCGGAAGCAAAGCCAGGCCACAAAGCAAGCCCAGAAGCAGCTCCACCAGGCAGGAATTGAAGCCCGGAAACAGGAGCGCCTCCGGAAGAAGACCGTGGCTCAGCTTACCAAATCGGGCCTCCCAATTCCTCCGGAGTTAGAAGACCCAATTACTGACCCAGAAGCTGATTCTGGGTCCGAATATGAGAGTGCGAGTGAGGGTGGGAGTGGGAGCGGGCATGAAAGTGAGAGTGAGCGTGAGAATGAAAAGTGATAATTTCGTAGATTTGAATTTTTAAGTACTTCTACATACAAATTACTATGGCGTGGTACTTACGGTCGCAATTTGAGAGCGCGCAACTTGCTTCCACTTTTAAGCGAGAGCGCGCAACTTGCTTCCACACCCGATTATCGCGTTATGAAGATTTTACTGTAATACAGTTCGAGAGAGCCAACGAGGCAGTCATTGATACCGGCGATACTACGGGTTGCCTTGGAACACAGCCATTAACGTCGGCAGATCTCACGGACGAGAAGTCTAAATGGGATGATCGCCCCTCTTGGGGGTGTGATTTATTTGTCTCCGCCTGTCGCTCGCCGTTGAGTTTCTGTCGGCTTGCTTCCGTCGTAACCTATTTATCCAATAAGGTGTGTAACATTGCCATACGCCCCAGCTTTGGGTTGCGTTTGCCCAATATAGCCTGTATTCTTCTAGACCGCCTGCCTTGCATCATGCATCACGAGCGTGCCATCGTCACCGCCAGCCCCCCTACGAAGTGACGACATCGGCTACAGACATACTTCACAAGCCTACGAAACGGGTGACTCGATCGGGCTCCGCGCCTCAAAATAGAGTGTTAAGGACGGCCATCAAATTAGAGCTGGGAGCAGACGCAGGTAATATGAAGCCGCGCTCACCCCGCGTCCGTAGCGTAGTAGTCTGTCGCAGATATGCTCACTTGAGCATCCCAAACGGGCCGACTGTCTGCCTCTATTTCTTCCTTTCGTCCTGAGCGATTGGACTGACTGGCCGCCTTATCGCCAACCCCCAACCCTCCCCTCATCCCACCTCTCCTTCCTCTCCCTGCGCGAGTAGTAGAGGCGCCTCGCGTCGCGGTAGCGGCGTACCCACTCTGTAATCTCGCGCTCTGTAGCGACCGCGCCGTCGCCTTCCAGGAAGCTTTCTTCCAGCGCCTGGCACACCATCTCCTGGCCCTGCACGCCGGCGCCCAGGCGCTGGTACAGGGATGATGGCGAGAAGGGGGAGAGCGCTCGGTCCATATCTGATTGCTTCTGCCGCCATTGACGTTCTAGTGCGTGTGCAGAGAGAAGCTGTGCCTGTGTTGAGGCCTGTAGATGCGACAGACGGGCCTCGACGTCGTTTAGATGAGATGCTAGGGCTATGTTCTCGCGCAGGGCAGCTTGTAGTGATTCGTCCGAGGCGGGGGTGGAGGGGTGGGCGGTATCGCGGGAGTGACATGTCGCGGAGAGGAGCTTGGGGTTACAGAGAATCTCTTCGAGATCTTGTATACTGAGATAGTAAGTGGTGAGATCTTTATGCAGATAGAGTGTATGAATGCATACGATTTGTCTTCTAGGATCTTTGGCAGCCAGTTAGGCCCTGGGTCTGGGATAGCCTGTGGAATACCTTGAGGGCCGACTTGTTCGGCGTAAAGTGGCCGTTCGGGCATCGGAGGGGACGGCTGATGGTAGAATTGTGACAGTAAGGGCGTACTTTGCCGGCTCACGTCTTCGCTGCGTGGCTTTGGCGGTGGCTTTGGCGGGACGTTGGGATCGAAAGACCCCAAGGCACGGTGATCCGCGTATGATGGGATGTCGTTTGAGGGGGCGTAGGCCGCCATGGTGAGGGTAGAAGATGTATGAGTATCACCGATGGGAGTATACGCCGTTAAATAAAGCCCAGCTTTATAAATAGCGAGGTTGAGGTGATTAAGGGTTGCGGCTCATGGCCTTCTCTAGGCCGAGTACGTGTCAGGTTACGTGGGTGTGCGTATTGAAGCCTGGATCTGGTGCGCGCCTAGATCTAATCTTATCTTATCTTACCCGACCTGTACCCACGAATTTGAGAGTGACAGATGGATGTGCGCAGGCCTCCTTCAAAGTATAAAACAATGTAAAATGTGCAGAGCATACTATTGCCTGTTTGCATGTATGGATCATGTAGCTTCTCAACGGAATACTCTCGAAGGTAGACCGAGCCCAGGCACAAACTGCATATACGACCTTGCAGCGTTCCAAGCCTCCCGGTGGCATTCGGGCTGGTCCCTGGTATGGGATTCATGAGGAGGTGAGCAGTCACCAGCGCCGAGAGCCTTGCATGGCAGTGTGTGGCGCGGCATGGTAAAGCAAGGTATGGGTCTATAGCATCCTTTGTATAGACGGCATATTACTTACAAAGCTAGCCAGTGCAATGTGACCAGCACGGCCAGGCCATTCCTCGGCTTGGTGATTTCAAAGGAGACAAGCACGGAAGATGATAGGCCAGCGATTTTGCCACTTTTTCCAATTCGCGATTATTCAGCATGGCCGAGCGTCTCCCCGAGCCGGAGTGGAGTGGTGGAGAGCCCAAGAGAGTGAAGTGGGTTGAGTGGGGTTTGTATCTTCGATCCTGGTCCCTATCCGCGCCTTAGTTCCCTGTGTTTGTGTGCTGTGTGTGGAGAGAAATGTCTCGGTGCGATATGTTTGGGTATGTGTAGGGTACTGTGCAGCACGTACTCCATACTGTGGACATATTGGGGACATCGTCAAAGATCAGTCTGGCCTGGGTGTGCCTGGGAATGCGTGGGTATGCCTGTATTCGCCTCCATTACCGTCCTAGGTCTAGGTGAAGCTTGAATCAAACGTGTATCATGCCGTCCTACACCTTGGAGTGTTGCAAGAGGCGTCGCTGGCGTCGCTGGCGTCGCTGACGTCGCTGACGTCGCCGGAGTGTCGATGGAGTATTGGTGGACTGTTGATATACTCCATTACAGTGCGCTGTACTGTCTCAGTCGTGAAGTCCTGTCCTGCACAGAGGAGGCCGCACTCGCAGGGATCAAGCGCACCAATTTTCCGGAGAAGGGCCGTTTTGGTGAGAGGCAAGATGTGCGCACAGGGCGAGAACAAGGCCTTGCCGATCCATCACCATCAATTCATCACGCACAACACGTGCTCGCATGTAGGATGCATTGTATGGAGGGACTGATATCTTGAGAATTGATCTATCTGTTCATGAGATCGGCCGAGATTGAGATGTGTGTGCATCTGGGAATGGAGCTGCCGAGCCCAATCAATACATTGCCACCGAGTTGACAGGGGTCTAGTCTATACGATGCCAACGCGTCCCTTCTCGGACTTCTCGCTGTTCTCGGCGAGAGCGGGAACAATGACACATTTGTGAAGCTTTGAAGGCCCTTCTCCAGTGTAAATACGTGTGAACAAACTGCCGCTGTGATACCACTCTACTCTACTACGATGCGGAGACCTCGGGGTTCTGTACTCGAGTCATGAGAATAACAAGGCCCTTCTATTTCACCGAGTGCCAATGCGGATTCTAGTCGTGGATGATCCTGAGAGTGCAAAAGATATAGCCTAATGCATCACTGGCCTTTCCTCTCGTCCATGCGAGGCACAGGAGAGCAGCCGCCTGGCAGCGCACAGTGCTCCGTCCCTCAGGCCGCATCGAGCTGACAAGAAGGATCTGGACAACGAGGCAAATGCAATCCGCGATACACCGAAGGATGGATCCTCGCAGACGGCGACACGAGGCAAGTTTGTCGTCGTTATCGGGCATGGCTTCTTGGGTGCCGTTGAATCTATCCGATAGATGGGCGCTGGGCCAGGTCTTGACTATTCTTGGCCGCTATCGCGTCAATCGCATGGCAAATGGCATGGATGGGATAGTTGGGAAGGGAAGGGGGCCGTCGTCGAAGGAAGTACCTCCTTCGTTTGGAGGCGAGGTACTACTGTATTGAGTGTGTGTGGATGTGCTGCTGTGCATGTACATTCAATGGATCGGACACAGACGGGACATCTCTCGCCCATACGGAATATCCGGCCCTTTTATCCATCGCAGCGCAGTTAGCTGGTGATGAGGTCGGAGGAGATTCACCAAGTCACCAAGCCCGCGAGAGGCCAGCCGTCCTTCCCCATTAGTGGGGGAGTATTATGAAGGGTTGAGATGATCGGTTTGCCTCGTATTTGCCTTTCTCGGCGAGATATGAGAGAGACGCGGACAGAGATAAGAGTGTACAGACGGTGGTACCTTGAAATCCCCATATTATAACTCGCGTGATGGCGCGGCGGTTATCGACTTTACTCCGTACTGGCGGTACTCTTGGATGACCGGCCTTATTGTGGAGAAGTTCAAATGGGCGGCGGATGCGGTGTTTCTTCCTCTGGGGCGCGAATGTGCTTACTTGACTAACTTTTGGTACTACTGTATCCATATTCTCCATATTCTCCATATCCTCCAATATCCTCCATTCCCTATTGATCTGTTGCTCCGGCCTGTAGCCCTGTAGCTCCCTATCACCGTCTCCCCTATCACAGACGTTGCCATTAATGCTTCAGCTTCAACCCCCTACCCCCCCTACCACCCCCTACCACCCCCTACCACCCCCTACCACCCCCTACCACCCCCATACCCCCCTACACACCCTAAATGTAGGCATTTACCCCCTACCAGTACTCAGTACAACAGTCCCATAATCGCTGGCGTACAGCCCTAGAAAATAAAAAGGTACTTACGAAGACCCAACGAACCCTGCAAATTGACTGTACGATGTGTACTTGCTAAATGTACCTTTGGGTTGCAGTCGCTCGCTGGATCACACACCGCACTACATACAACACCCCCCCACCCCCATCCCAATCCCACTCACTCCCTCTCCCCCACGAACTTCCTCTTCTCACAACTATCGACCATCGACGGCCATCACAACCCATTGGCGACTTGGGTTCGAAAAACTATGACCTGGCGGCGATTTACCATCAACAAACACTGCTGGCTGACGTCCTGAGTGGTTTCACACGCTTCTCTAGAGACGACGGGCCTCCCGCGATCCTGATGCTTCAGCACGACTGCCGCACCCCCATCTGGATGCCATAGGAGCCCGAAGCAGAGCATGGATCCAAGTCACATCACCGAGTTCGCCAGTCCGCGGTACTTTGAGAAGTTAAATTTGCTACACGATGCTGTCGACAATGCGAACAACCCCCAGGCTGCAGACGGCGCCGCTGGCACGTCGCAGACCTCAACATTCAGCCTACCCATAAGGAACCCGCGCCCACCGGGAGCGCGCAGGAGGAGAAGCGGCGATACCGATCGATCCGGCGATGGAAAGAGGAGGCTGCTGGTGCCAGAGGCCCCGAGGAAACCGAGCTTCACATCATCTATTACGAACTTCAGGTTCAAGGTCTTGCATAAGGGAACGTCGCATCAAGTTGGGCACGAGTTTATCTTCGAAGAAGGGCCCGTAAAACAAGAGTGCGTTTGCTTTTGATTCCGGTATATCGCTGCCTTGCTAACGTTCACGTGTAGGCTTACTCTCGGCGACCGATTCCTTTCGCTACCGAACGAACTTCAACTCCAGATTATGTATACCCTTCCTATGCCGACGGTTCTCAATCTCAGGCTTGTCTCGAGATCCTTCAATTCCTTTATTTTAATGAATGAGTCGCCTATATCGCGGCATCATCTTACCCACAGCGTCCCTCACTACGCCCTACGATTATACCCAGTCCCCGATTCGAAACTCTTCACCCTCTATTATCTCTGTGGACTTTGGCATCGCCTCCACGTCGCATCAAAACTTGCTGATCTTATTGCTGAGCACACGACTCAGGAAATCTTCCTTCGCGACACGGAAGCAAAACGGCGCGAATTCGAACCGCAACATAGACGTTTGCGGTTACGTTTGATGCCATTGCTATTTACTATGTTTCATTTCTTCGAAAAGTACCGAGAACTTCATTTGAAACACCTGGAATCGAATGGAATACCGCTACGACACCAGCCTTTTACCCTGAACCCGATAGAGCGCCAGGTTATGATTATGTACGACGACCAAACACTACTTCAACTACACCAAGTCTTCCCGCTAGTCCTCTCATCCTTCTCTCGGCGCCTGCGACCTCCATCGTACGCCGGTAGACTGGAGCGTTCGATCAAGGGTTATTTAAAAGACAAGCCAGCCGACGAGATTTACGCGACGATAATATTAATAGGAGGTCTGCGGCAGGCAGAAAGATTTTGGGAGATGAAGGGGTACAACTCGAGACGAGCAGCTGTCGACAGTTGGTACAGCTCCGTCACCAGGGAACCCATGGAGGCCCCTCCCAAGTCACGACTAGCCATACTAGGTCTCGGCCGAAAGAAGTCTGCCACGTCTCACCCAGATATCGCGGCCATGGAAGCGTTGTCGATGCACGACCCGGGCAGTTGCAACGAGTGGGACTGCGTTCAGCCCGCTTGTATGGATGCACGCGCACACCGTACCCCTAGCCACACGATGTTCCACAAAAGCCTTTCCGCCGGGCCACCTATGAGCCCGCTGTCGCGTGAGCAGTTAAGGCCGTTGCTCCTAGACCAACAACCGTTGACGAACATATGGCTTCACACGGCCGAGGCGCTCATCCTGGAGCGCGGGATAGTCGAGTGTTCCTTGAAGATTAAGAGGAACACTCAGGTTCTCTTGGAGCTGATCAAGGAGGATGGGGGCGTGGACGAGGAATGGGCACCTGGTTTGTCACAGGCCTCGCGGCATGCCTTACATCACCCTGTAGGAGCAGGTGGTGCTTATTTTGGCGCACACGAGATGTAGGGGAGCATTTATCAATGGCGTTGTTGCGAGTATATATAAGGAGCAGGGGCGCCGGTCTCGGTATTGAGGCATAGATATCATATATGGTGTTGCCATGTTGGAGACGTATACTCCACTGGGAAACATGGTTTTTTTTTGGATGGATCATTGTAGCAGATCACTCCTTGTAGCAAACAGTTTTTGCTGGATGTAATGAAATACCTTTTGTTTGTCAACTGTTGACTTTATCGTTGCTATACTGGATGGACTTGATGCGGATGAAAGTGAGTGATTGAGTGACTTGAGTGACGGATTTATGTACATAACCAACCATCTACAGTTTCCCCAGCGCCTAACGCACATACATGCCTTAATTTGGACTCCTGTCAATTCTGTGAATGGAGCTCAATATTGATTGAGAAGTGGCGCACGAATCACAGCAGCTCGAGGCTGAAGCCCAGACCTAAGCGACGACCATCCGAGTGTGTTGTTCGTGATGACCGATGACCCTACCCGCGCGCCCAGATAAGGGACCTCATCTCAACTCAACTCCTCCACACGGCCACATGGCATGGCGCCTCGCTCTCCCGCGCCCACGCCCACAACATTGAAATGGCGACAATGTCCGCGCCCCAGCCCAGCGGCATTCTCTCATCGACCACCTCCTCCTTCGGCCAATTCCGCCTCACCACTTTCGTTGACGCGCATCCAAAGCCCGCTTCCACCACCGCAGCTGGCGTAGTCGCAAACGCCCCCGACAACATCGCAGCGGCCTCCCTACCACCCCAATCCTCCACAATGGCAGCAGACGGCCCCTCCAGCGACGCGCCCGCGCAGCTCCTACGACCCCACTCGAACCCCAGCGCCTCCCCCCTCGCCCCCACCACCTCCAGCACCTCAACAACCACCCTCCCCGCCCCCTCCCCAGCGCGCCGCGCCCCCGGCTTTGGCGTCCTCGACCTCACCGCCCCCTCGACCGAGCGCTCAGGCAAACTCGGCGCCCACCGCGACGGGCGCGTGCGCAACCCCGTTCCGCGCAAGTTGAAGGGGAAGACGGATCAGCGGAATGGGAATTTCGCCGTCATGCATATGGATATGTCTAGCTCGAGTGGTGGGGGGCGCATGGTGCCGCGGGGGGAGGCGGCACAGAGGGCGAGCGAGAATACGGCCAAGGCGGCGAGGAGTATGTTGCAGGACTCGTATAGGGTGAAGAGGAGACGGGTGGACGGGGGGGAGCCGGCGGTGGTGGTGCAGCAGCCGTATGTGGTGCCAAGTGAGCCCCTGGTGGCCCAGCAGCCGGTGCATAGGACGCAGCCGATGTCGGCGGAGGAGACGAAGTATGAGCAGGCGCGGTTGTTGACGCTGTTGAGGAGTATTAGTCCGTTGGCGGTGGTGGATCAGATGTGCAAGGCGCTTGCATTTTTCGGGGGGATACCCGGGGCGCCGGTGCCGGAGGATGAGGCGTTCCCGGCGAGCGATGATGCGAATGGGAGTGGTGCGCTGTTTGTGGGGTGGCTGTCGGAGATCTTTCCGGAGCCGGAGAGGAAGGTGTGGAGGTCGAGTGTGGGGGGGGGAGGGGCGAGGGGGAAGAGGCCTAGGGGGAGACCGAAGGGGAGTAAGGCGTCGAAGGTTAGGAAGGATAAGGGGATTAAGAAGGGGCCGAAGGATGGGGGGAGGGAAGGGGAAGGGGGGGCGGTGTCTGTGCTGGATGAGGATGAGGATGCGGATGCGGATGGTGCGGATGAGGAGTGGGTTGATATTGGGGAGTCGGAGTCAATACTGCATGATAAAGGGTCTGGACAGACTGGGACAAATGCATCTGGCGCGTTTGTCCCTGTCAATTCAAGCGGCACTGGGATAATTGAGCTCGAACCAGAGGAATTGAACGAACCCGAGCTGTTAGATCCGCCAGCAACCGCGAATATTGGGAAGAGGAGACCGGGGCGGCCACGAGGCTCTCGTAATCGTCCGAAGGAGAAGGATGCAGAAGGGAACGAGGTTCCAGCTGTTGAAGTTTTTTCCCTCAATCAATCCTCTGCCCCGTCTACGAGCAGTCCTGTGATGACCATGCAGTCTGCAAACTCGCAGACGCCAACGTCACAGCCGAAGCGCAAGGCAGGTCGTCCTCCAGGCTCGAAGACTAAGCCGAAGGAAACGCCTATACTGCCAACCATCAGCGTCAGCCCGACACTGTCTAGAAGCAATCGCGCCGCGGTTAGCCAAACCGCGACCCCAACCAACAACATCGCTGCTGTGCCCCAAGGATTAAGCGCCGAGGAGCTAGCTGTCGTGGATGCCTACCGCAAGTCCAAGACTAGCGAGACTGCTGTCCCTACACCCACCACAAAGCCTGCTGAGAAACGAAAACATGGACCTCGGAAGTCGAGCAATGGCTTTACCGCGGAAGATGCTGTTACCGTTACTGCTGCTCCCATACTACCACCGTCTACCATTACCCCACCGGTGGCGCCGCAGCAAAGTGAGCCCTCAAGGGCAAATTCACAACAGGTGACGCCTAAGAGCGCCTCTGCGGGACCGGCCGCAAAGCGTCAGCGAAAGTCGAAAGACCTTACGACAGCAGCTTCAAAGACGAATGTGGCACAGGACACTGCTATTCTCAAGTCTACTCCCACGCCTACCCCGGCGTCGGCACCGGTAGCAAGAGCAATCCCCGTCACCAGCTCGCAGCAGCCCGTCTGTGTACCCAGCACCACGATGTTCTCGTCGTCTCTCCCCATGGCATCTGAGCAGATCATGGCGCCAGCCCGAGCTCCGGCGCAGGGACTGCAGGCGCACTATGACCGGTTCACTAGTATACAGCAACAGCAGCAGGCACAGCAGCATCAGCAGCATCAGCAGCAACAGCATCAACAGCAACAACAACGACTCGACCCCCGCCACGACCCCCACCTCCTCACCCGCACCTCCCCCTCCAAACCCCCTTCTACCAACCCCACCACCCTCAATCGCAACCGCAAGCACGCCATATCCCCACCCCCTCCCCCTCCCACTTCACACACTACCAACCCCAACAACCCGCCCGCACCTACCACACCAGCGCCAACGCAGAAATGGACCCTTACCGCGCCGCCGCCGCGGCTGGCCAACAGCAACAACAACAGCACGCGACGTTCTCCCCGAGACAGCAGAACCCCCAGCAGCAGCAGCAGTTCGCGCATTATACCGAGGCGTCGTTTATTGATCTGCCTGCGCTGGAGGAGGGGGGTGCGGGGGAGGGGGGTGGGTATGGAGGGCAGGGGGGACGGGCGAATGGGCAGGGTCAGGGGTTTCGGGGACGGGCGAATGGGCAGGGTCAGGGGTTTGGGGGAGGGGGGATGGGGAAGTGGGAAGGGGGATGAAGGGGCGGGATAAATGATGGGATATGCGTAATGGTAACGGTGTTATATGTTTTTGATGGCTATGGGATGAATGGGTTGGGATGGGATGGATTTGAATTGGGGATTGGATTTTGTTTTTACGGTTTGTTTAGGGGTTTGAGCGATATGAATTAATGACGGACGAAGGGACATACTACTGGGGACATGGAAGTATTATGGATGGGATAGTGGGAAGGACTAATTCCATCTGGAAGCATAGTGAGAACAATCAATGGGAGGTTCGAGTTTCCCAGATGCTGCTTTTGGTTTTTGTGATATCCGTTTACCACATCCATACCCTGAATAGGCTGGCATTTCAAAAGCCTCTGGTCCAAGCCACTGATGCGACTTGTGCTCAGTCATCACTTTCAAACATCCATTCATCAAAGATCTTCCCAACCCCCTGCCAATCCCCCTCCTTCGTCCCCGCCTTCTTGCGCGAAACGAACTCCACAATCGACCCCCCGCCGAAATCCACAACCCACGGGTTGAAACTAGTATCAATAACAATACTCCCCGGATGAACATCGCCCCACGCAAGACCATGAGCGTGTAACTGCGTAACTGTATCCGTGACTTGCTGCTTCCATCTTGCATGGTGTTCCGAAGCCAAGGCGCTGTTTTTAGCTGTATAAGGAGTCCCCAGTTGAGGGGATGGGGTCGAATAGGAGACCGATCGTCATTTTGGTGTCGGTGGATACTACGATACTGTGGAGATTGGGTATTTTGAGATTGTTTTGTAATCCGGTTTGGTGGATACGTAGATGCATGCGACTTTTCTTAGGAGTTGCTTCTTATCAAGTGCGGGCTTGAAGAACTTAGTTGTACCGTCGGCCATAATAGCTTTCTGAGGTATCAGACATATAATCGTCCCATTCCGCATCTGAAACAATTCGAATATCCGACGCGTTCTCACGACTGACTTCAGAAAAATCTGGAAGGTCTCCAGACGGTATCATCAGCTGAAAAGCATTCATAGTCCCACGATCCCGTGTAGCCTTAGGATAGAGCGAGGATCCCGAAACCAAGAGCTTCAAATGAGCGTCGGTGGGTAGTAGAAGTCCTCAAAAGTGATTTCTTTCGTCACGTTTTAGTGTAGTCTCGCGGAAATGGGAAAGGCATGGGTCTATGGTCCATTCACATAATACATCGTGGTCTTCTGCGTCGGAGTCGTCGAGGGCTTTGGTCACCATGGAGGAGTATTCGGTCGAAATGCGGCGGATGTTATAATCGTGGTGGTAAGCGATGTGCGTTCGCAAGAAATGTGGAAGCGATATGCGTTCACGACATTTTACATGGTAAATTAACTAAAATCGCAACTTCTTCATTTTCTATAGCTACTATTTTACGTCCTTTTTAGTAATTAACAACTTTATAACTCTACAAAAGTTAAATGCTTCTAGTATCAGTGTTGCCCGAGTACTACTCAGAGTACTACTCAGAGATCTTCGAGTAGAGTACTGTTTTTTGGGCTCGAGTATAAAAATGAAAACATGATTGATGGCTATATAGACTATGGAAATACAGTAACTATGCATCCTCATCTTCCTCTGAATCCTCACCTGCTGATACCACGCCCCAATTCCTAAGACATATAAAGATATCGTAGTGTAGATGGTGCTAATCTGTTCCGTTTCTTTTAATAATATCGCCACCAACACTAAACACTCGCTTAGATTCCGCTGATGTAGCAGGAATTGCTAAATGATCTTTGCCAATTGCGGCAAGTATTGGATATTAGTATTGCTTACTTGCTCAAAACTTGAGTATATCAATTTTAGGCCTAAGAGTTGGCTCGTTCATCTAACGCTTCCATTCTGGATCTAAATCTGGCTGCTGTTGTAAGACATATAGCTCATCCTTAGAATCAGACTCTGTCTTCTTAACCTTTGTTGTTTGGATGTCTAATGCCTTGCCTGAATATTTATAATAACAGTCTTGCCATTGTGCTTTTGCCTGCCTTTTTCATGTGTTTTGAATGCTTTTGGCTAAATAATATCAAATATGTTAAAGTTATAACGTAGGTCGCATATTGTAGCTATTCTCTATATATCTAGCTTTAAAGACTTAAGCTTTTGCATCATTCTCATATACTATATAACAGCATAATTTAAAGTAGGCTTGTAGCTTCTCTATTAGGTGTATAAAGATAACGTGCATGTATAACGAAAGTGCCAAACAAGCGAAAGTTCCAAAGTAGCATTATAGTAGCGCGTCATACATTACAAGTAGTCGATTTGCCATATCTTCAACAACAGACATCCGCTAAGGAAATCCTTTAGCAGCTAGGTCAAGTATGTGTTAAACAAGAACTGATTCCATTAGGTTGTCAATTTTTGTAAATTGGCTGGAATATCACATTGTGTAGGTATACCACGGTTCTAGCAACAGAGCTTCTTATAGTTAACTTTATAGAGCTCCCCTACAGCTCTTGCACTTAGCTTTATGTTGATTTCATAGCTTAGAGGGCTGAAATAACGTCTCTTTCATTATTTTTCTAGGGCATCGTTTATGGTGGAGAAATGTAGTGTTTTATGTAGTTGTTGCATTAGCACATCTAAGGCTTTGCTTTATGGCTTTCACTATATATGTACATTATAATGCTACTTATACTAGACAGTGTTGCCCGAGTACTACTTGACTCAAAGAAATCTGAACTACTAGAGTAGTACTCAAGTAGTACTCGAGTAGTACTCGAGTAGTTGCCAAGACAGCCAAGAGAGCAGGGTAAGGACATAGACAGAATTATAGCATAGGCAAAGTGAAGCTTTCAACGACTTGAATATTGCTGTGATACTTACCATCGTCAAGATGAGCGAGTCTTCACTATCACCGCCGCCCCTAGACGACCTAGGCGAATATGAGAATACCTCTTAAGATCCACTCTTGCCCCTACACTTGTACGCATGCCTATACGGCCTCAAGACCAACTGTTACCAGATTCTGACTCAATCCTCTTTGCAAAGGGTTTATACTCTCTACTATTCTTGATAATGCGCCTTTAAGAATATCATTTAAGTGCTTGCAGCCACATTGCACATATACACCATTACAAACTACAAAGATGCAGACAATGAGTAATCTTTAGAAGCATTTAAAGACACAACATCTAGCAATATATGCACAATATAAGAAAAAGCATGTTTAAGATGGAGATACACAGCCTTCTTCTTCAACTACAGCTACATTCTTCTAGCCTCGCAAAGTACCTAGCCATGCACCAAATTCGTCAAAATTTAGAGAGCTTCTACTCTCATTTATTGTGTCTAATAACCTACCATTGAGTACATCTAAGAGTCTATCCTTCCGGCAGCTTGTTAGCCATTTAAATCCAACAACACTTGTAATTAGACAGATGACAATTGCAAGAGACTTGCAACGGATATTATGCATTCATAAAGCAAGGTTACAACTTAAATTATAGCAGCATACTACACAAGGTGGATGGATATCTTTAACAACTTATACTTGGTCTGCACACAACTATTCTGAATATGCTGCAGTAACAGCACATTGGATCTCTGATAAGTGGCAGTTATGATGTACAGTCTTAGATGTTATTGAGCTACAAGAGCCAATCCATTCTGGTGAATATCTTACAGGGCAGTTAATAGCTGTTACAGATGACTATGGTATTACTCCTGTAGTTTTTTACTATCCGAGTGATAACGCTTCTGCAAACACTACCATGCTCTTAAAATATGAGAACTTAGCATGCAGAGCGAAACTACATTACAGCAACCATGGGCATATACAACAAAAGAAGGCGATGTCAGATGTATTACGCACATTATAAACCTTGCTGTTCAAGCTGCTTTAACATCGTTAAAGGCAGTACTAGCAGATGAGCCAAACGCATACTGCCTTGAGTATAGAGCTGCCCGAGTCCATCACTACTAGAAAATGAGTCAGTAGCTGTTCTTAGCAAACTTCGGCGTCATATATATGTGTTTCGCAACTGACGACAATAGAAGGATGCCTTAAAAAAGCAATGTGAAGCTACAAATATTGAGTTTAAGCAGCTTAGCCTCGATATGCCAGTACGATGGAGCTCAACATATTATATGCTTCATTTAGCGTTAAGATTACAAGGTCTAATAATAGCTCTCTGTGCATCTCAACAGCTTGATTTAAGTATGAAAGATATAGCTTTAACAGCAAAATATTGGCAAATGATGAAGGTGTTATTAGATTTTTTCTATAACGTGCATGTATAACGAAAGTGCCAAACAAGCGAAAGTGCCAAAATCATGCGGTGACCAACCCCCCCAACTAAATGTTAAATTCCTCCACAACAAAACATGCGCCATAAAAATGATGAAAGCAAATTAGTGCTAGCTATCCAAGCTATGCAAAGCGACCCAAATTTGCGCCTTCGAGTTGCAGCTAGGATCTATTCCGTAGACCACCGCAAGCTATGTCACCGTTTACAAGGCGTACCTTCACGACTCGATATCCAAGCCAACTTACGGAAATTAAGTAACCTAGAGGAATCAGTTCTTGTTTAGTATATACTTGACTTAGCTGCTAAAGGGTTCCCTCCTCAGTTGTCTATTGTTGAAGATATGGCAAATCGACTACTTGCAACACGCGACGCGCCACGCATCGGGTCACGTTGGGCTTCAAACTTTGTTAAGCGCCATGTAGAGCTCCGGACACGCTTCCAGCGAAAATACGACTACCAGAGGGCTAAGTGCGAAGATCCAGAAGTCATTCGTGGCTGGTTTGAGCTTGTATGGAACACAATTCTAAAGTATGGCATCAACAATGCAGATATCTACAACTTTGATGAGACTGGGTTTATGATGGGCGTCATCTCAAGCGCAACGGTAGTAACGAGCTCAGATGGGCGGGCAAAGGCAAAAAAGGTGCAGCCTGGCAATCGGGAATGGGTTACAGTAATCCAAGGCGTTAGTTCTCAAGGTTGGGCAGTGCCGCCATTTGTCATTGTGGCAGGTAAAAACCACCTTGCATCTTGGTATGAGAATAGCGGATTTCCAGCAGATTGGGTAATCGCTGTTACTGCAAATGGCTGGACTACAAACGAGAGAGGTATGGATTGGATTCAGCATTTTGAGAAGCACACAAAGCCCCGGAGTGTTGGTGGTTATCGCTTGTTAGTCCTTGATGGTCATGAGAGCCACCACTCAGACAAGTTTGAGGAGTACTACAAAGAACACAACATTATTACGCTTTGTATGCCTGCTCACTCTTCCCATATACTCCAACCACTTGATGTTGGCTGTTTTGGCCCATTAAAGAGAGCTTACGGTCGGCAAATTGAAGATATGATGCGGGCTCATATTATTCACATTACTAAGGATGACTTCTTTCCTGCCTTCCACGCTGCATTTAACATTGCAATGACAGAAAGCAATATTCAGGGAGGGTTCCGAGGTGCTGGGCTTCTTCCATTTAGCCCTGAGAGTGTAATATCTACACTTGACCTTAGGTTTAAGACGCAACACCTCCAACCTCTCGCCCAAACACCGCTCAACCATGGGTTTCTCAGACACCAAATAACCCAACTGAAGCTGTATCACAGTCTACTTTCATTAAAAACTGAATTGCGCATCATCAAAATAGCTCTCCAACCTCAATCTATGCAGCTGTTGACCAGTTTACAAAGGGTGCATCGCAAATAATGCATCAATTAGCATTGTTAAAAGCAGAGAACCAAAACCTGCGACAGGCAAATGAAGTGCTAAGCAAGCGCCGAAGAGCTAAAAAAACACGACTACAGCAAGGAGGATCACTTAGTCAACAGGTAGCACAGGAGCTACAGGACGAGAGGGACATTGTGCAGCAAGTAGAGCAAGAAATAAGGGCAAGTAGTGGTCGGAAGCCAAGGGAAAAAACCCATGCACGTCGCTGTGGCAAGTGTGGTGAGACTGGACACAATGCGCGCACTTGTCAGATTGTAATAGACAGGTCTGAGGAAGAGGACTCCGAGTAGTTTTAATTAATTTATATTGTTGTGGTGGATTTATCGCAATTCTTATGGGGTAGTCGCCTATCTAATAGGATACATAGAGGTTTCTTGCGTTAGGTTGACTTAACAGAGGAAGCAGGGGATTAAACACAAAGGCTTTCTAAGTAACATGTTATAGTATTGTAAAGAATACTATATTAAGTTGAGCACGAAGCTCTATCTAAGAAAATACTATCTACTTATATAGTGGCATTGTGCCTTATGGATAGTTCAGATAGTTAGATAGTTAGGGTAGTTGTGTTTTTCCCAACTACCTAACTATCCACTAGTTTCCCAACTATCTACTAGCTAGGTCACGCTACAGCCTAGCCCTGCTAGCCTTGTGACTTATGAGTCATGTTACTGTAGCTGTAACACTAGGTCTCCCTCCTAAAGGCCTAGTCCCTTAGGTCTTGCTAATTAAGGAAATCACTAACTACTTAAGTAGGGTGATGCCTACTTAATTGCCAAGTAGGTTGCGCTACTATCATGTCTTCTAAGAGACACACAAAAATCAAAGAACGTTATCTTCTCACAGACTGCATCGAAAAGAACAGCAAACTAATGTGGCTATATTCCAACTGTCTTCATAGCGAACGACCTTATATCATCGTTACTAGTCATCATTGTTATAGTGAATGTACTCGTTAGAATTCCAAATGTAATGCTCACCCCTTCTCCTACTGATTAGGAGAAGCTTCGTAAAGAAGAAGAGCGTCTCAAGCTCGAAGAGGAAGCAGCAGCATCTTAGGAATGGCAGGCTCACCTCTGTGCTTAAGAAGCATATGCTCATTGTATACGTCTTTGCAAACAGCAGAAAGCTCTTAAAACTTGCAGTGTTAAGATGCTACGTCGTGGTCTAAAATCCTTAGACGAGTTAGAGGAGCTTGAGGAATGTAAGCAGCATGAGGTTAAGGCTCGCTCCCTTAAGGCTTGCTCCCTGCTCCTAACTGCCTCTAAGGCTATCTCTAGGGTCAATGCTTCAAAACAGGACCTTTTCACATCTTTGCCTTCTAGATTCTTTAACTCCTAGGATGTCGACAGTGAAACACCTTTAGTAACTCTAGACAGCTAAGGTTTCCTACTGTTTCCTATGAATTGTCTGTAGGTTTATAACCTTTCCATTTTATCAAAAACTCTTCTTTGTGTTCTACTAACCTTCTGTCTAGGATCGCTTTGACTTCGTATTTAATGATCTTAGTCTCTAGTTGTAGTTCTGTGTTGGTCGCAATCAGGGTGTTTCCTCTTGCTAGTTCTAATAATGAGACATAAAAAACCAGGTGTAGCCTACAGTTCTCAGGTAGCTTTAGTCTGTGATTAACTAAGCTGACCTTGTTTAATATTTTGAATGGTCCTAACTTCTTGAAATCCAACTTCGTACTTAGTCATTTCATTTTGATGTGTTTCTAGGGTAGGTATATGTCATACTGACATTCGTTGCACTCAGTTTGCTATCAAACTCAAGAGCAAACTTAGAAATCTCCTCCTCAAACCTACAAGTCACCATACATATCTTGGCTTATCATACCAACAACAAGAGCAATACTACTAAACGATTGCTGCAAACTCTTCTAGTACATCTGTTTATGCTACATACATCACGGCATATCAGTTGGACACTCATTGAACAAGTTATTAAGAAAATCTCCCTCCTTAAGGGGGTGGGCCAATACTACCACAGGGCATATCTCTACCAACGAGAGGCCTAGAAACATGAACAATAGCTCTAGAAGCTTCTACAGCCTCTATGATTTATTACACATCATCGCTCCTTAGTCACCCACAAGATTGGTTAAGTTATGACATAATTTGTCTATAGGGGTACTCTGACCTTAGACCTCCTTTCACTTCCTAGTTTGTAATGGTGGCTGCACCAGATGTGAGAATCTAGCCACCCAAGGAAGGGATGATTTTACTAAGACAACACACTGTCTTAGGAAACAGAGCCAAAGGGTTGTAGCTTAGACTATTCCACAATGCAGCAATCAGGTGTATGATGTAGTGAAGTGGTTTAGACAAGTTGTAACAAATGTTGAGTCTGAGAACTCAGGGGTAAGTCAGAGGTTAGCACCTCACTGACTTTTCAGAAACAAAGAATAACAAGATCAATGCTTGGAAGCTTGGAAAAGACATAGAAGTATGTGCTAGTCGATTTACTGTATTGTCTGCTTGCCCTTTCTTAAGGAAAGGGCAATCCTATTTATGCCAAAGGAGTGTAGTTCTCTCATTTTCCAAGACTTTCCATGACTAACCAGGCTTGGTAAATGTATTAGAAATCAAGTGCAACCCACAACTAGCTTGCTAATCATGTAGTGAACATAAGAGAATCCCATAGAACCATCTCTTGGGTTCCTAGCCTATAGGAAGTGAAAGGAGGTCTAAGGTCAGAGTACCCCTATAGACAAATTATGTCATAACTTAACCAATCTTGTGGGTGACTAAGGAGCGATGATGTGTAATAAATCATAGAGGCTGTAGAAGCTTCTAGAGCTATTGTTCATGTTCCTAGGCCTCTCGTTGGTAGAGATATGCCCTGTGGTAGTATTGGCCCACCCCCTTAAGGAGGGAGATTTTCTTAATAACTTGTTCAATGAGTGTCCAACTGATATGCCGTGATGTATGTAGCATAAACAGATGTACTAGAAGAGTTTGCAGCAATCGTTTAGTAGTATTGCTCTTGTTGTTGGTGTGATAAGCCAAGATATGTATGGTGACTTGTAGGTTTGAGGAGGAGATTTCTAAGTTTGCTCTTGAGTTTGATAGCAAACTGAGTGCAACGAATGTCAGTATGACAGCAGGATCTGTTAGCAAGTCTATAGAAGAGGATATAAAGGCTTTACAAACTCTAGCTAGAGAATATCAAGAGGAGGATATATACAATATGGATGAAACAGCATTGTTTTGGCGAATGGTTCCATCTAGAGGTCTTTTCACACAATCACTGCTAGGAATCAAGAAAAATAAAGATTGAATAACTCTTGTGTTAATGCAACTAGTACTAACCACTTTTTTGTTTGGATAATTAGTAAAGTAAAGCAACCTTGTGCACTTCAGAATATCAATGTCTTAACAATGGGCGGAGAGTGGAACAAGAAAGCCTACATAAACACAACTTTGATGAAGGAGTGGTTACAAGCCTTCTATCAACATATTAGAACATCTCGAACTGTCCTTCTCTCTATAGATAACTTCTCTAGCCATTATTGTAGTCTCGAACTCAACCCTCCACCTCTAAATATTCGACTCTACTAGCTTCCTCCTAATTTAACAAGTCGATTTCAACCTCTTAATCAAGGAATTATACAGTCCTTTAAAGCTTATTATTGTCAACAATGGCTCTCATTTATGTTACAATGCTTTGATTCTAACATTGATCTAGTTTAATTAATGAACCTTCATCTTGCTATTGTTACGGCTATTAGCAGAGCTATTAGCTGAGTGGGCCACGCCATAGGACCCCACGACACCCTGCAGGATGGAACTGTGAGAACTGTTAGAACTCATACAGTTCCTACAGTTCCTACAGTTCCTACAGTTCCTTATAGTTCCCTTTGGCACAACACCACTATATAAGTAGATAGTTATTTCTTAGATAGGAGCTTCATGCTCAACTCAATATAGCATTCTTTACAATACTGTAACGTGTTACTTAGAAAGCCTTTGTGTTTAATCCCCTACCTCCTCTATTAAGTCAACCTTACGCAAGAAACCTCTATGTCTTCTATCGTTTAGAAGTCAGCATTACAGCTATTCGATGGACTTTGCGAAGCTGGAATGTCTACTTACAAAGCGCAACAATATATAATTGCTTTCGAAAAAGCACACTTTTAACTACACCACTTGCTCTTTCAACACCAATTAATCCTCCAAATCTATCTGAATTATATGATAACGTTACAAGAGCTGGAAATATACAAGATGCGATGGCATTACACAATTTCTTAAATCCAGATGAGGAAACACAAGCCCAGAATAATGATGGTGAGACACTAACAGAGGAGGAGGTATTACAAGATATTATATCAAGTCATTTAAGTCAATGTGATGATGCTCAAAATGAAGAAGAAGAAGAAGCCTTAGAGCGGCCTGTACCTTCAATACAGGCTGCTCGACAGGCTGTTCAAATTCTAATTGAGTTTACAGAAAGTCGAGATGATATCTCAACAGCACAATTAAGAGCTATTGAGCGATAAGATGCAGATTTGGAGGCATTGGATGTTAATGGCAGAGTTCAAAGCAATCTAGATAGTTGGATTATATAAGCATTCAGTTGTGCGATATATTCATTAAGGCGATATTAAATTGGTGGCTAGATTCCATCGGCTTAGCGGGACTCTACTGTATAAACTTCTCGTCCAACCCCGCACAAACCCCAGCACCCCCCTTCATCAACAAAAATATCAAATCTAAATATAGCACACACACCAAACCTCCATCGCCCGCCGTCGATCATAACTCAAATTCCAAAAAGCCAACCAAGCGCAGCCAGCGCTGAGCTGCACCTCTTCGTAGCCCTCGGATAATCCTTCCCTCCCTCCAGCCAGCCTGTGCCCTTGCCCACCGCCCGTCCGTCCGCTCGACCCCTCCATCCATCAGCGCCCCCATCCCCGCCCTTCCGCTGCGCCCTCCTTCCATTCCTTCCACCAGCACCACCACCGCCGCCTCAGCCACTACCGCACAAATACCAGCGCCTACTACTCTGACGTACATTGCCAAACCTACAAATAAAATGACATCCCCATCCCCACGCGCCCCCTTCCCCCCCTCCCCCGACGGCGCAGCCGCGCCGGAGCTGCCCCACGCGCCAGCGCTGTCGTCGGCGAATGCGCGGGCGCGGTTTGAGTTCGAGGCGGGGAGGGGGGCGGAGGGGAGTAAAGTGCTGATGGTTGAGTGGAGTACTGCGCTAAAAGAGGAGGGAGGGGAGGAGGAGGAGGTATGGGAGGTAAGCTGGGAAGGCAAAGCGCGGGGTGTCGTTTATGGCAGCGGCAGCGCAACTGTAGATGAGAGTGAGGCCGGGGGCGGGGTTGGCGATTCGGCGGCCGGGGAGGGGGAGGTGGAGGTGGCGGGGAAACTTCATACGCACCGATTATACTTCCTCCTCCCACCACAGACCCCGGTTCCACGACTTGTTAATATATCCCGTCAAGGTGATACGGCCGAGCCACTCCACACGAACCCTCTCCCAGCGATCTTCCCACCCGAACTCGGTCTATCGGCGCGCACGGCGGGGCGGAAGGGGGTATTGCATACGCGGTGGGCGAAGAGGAGGTTGGCGGCGCTGGAGGTGGAGATTGAACGTGAAGGGGGGAGGGGGGAGGGCGTGGGCTGGGAGATGGCTGTTAGGGAGAGGGTGTGGATTGAGGAGAATTTTGGGGTTGGGAAGGGGGTGGGGAAGGATGGCAGTGCGAGCGGGAAGACGCCGGGGGGTCCGTTGGGGAGTGGAGGGAGGATGGGGGGGTTGAAGGTTGGGACTAGTCCTGGGGAATTGGGTGTTTATGGTGAGTCTTCCTTCCTCTTTCTGGTGCCTTCCTCCCATTGCTCCCTCGACCACCCAACTAACACCCCAAAGCCCCAGGACCCCTCAACCCCCTCTCCCCCGCTCCCTCCGACGTCGCCATCGCCGCCCCCGCATTCGCACTCTTCCACGCCCCCGCGCCCTCCTCTGCCCCAGAACAATCCGTACAAACGACCTTACCTACACAAACGCAGACAAGGGGAGCACCAGCGATAGTCTCGCAGCTCCCGCCCGTGTCTATCGTCGCGCAGCAAGCTGAGACGGGGGATGGGCAGTTGATGAGCTCTCTGGATGCGTTGGCAGCTGGTGGTACGGGCGGCGAGGGGGTAGGGGCTGGGGCGAGGTGGACGCCTGCGGATGCTAAGTCGGCGGGTGGAGATGTTGGGGAGGGTAATGATGGTGAGGAGGATGCAGAGGGTGGGAAGGATGAGTTATTCGCCATACCCCCGCGCGAGAGAGGGCCAGAGATGGCGCGGAGTCCATTTAGCCTCGTGAGCGAGGAGGTTGTGCCGTGGCGGTAACATTATGTTCGGGGATTGCACCTTGGATGTGGAGGGGCCAGGTGGAAAAGTGCACGCTCGCTATATACCCTTTCTGTTAATCGATAGTGGTGTTTCTCTTATAGACCGAAAAAAAAAATGTCCAGGGGTAATAGTCCCTGATTCAAGCTACTTGCAGGTTTAAGTAGGTGCGAAGGCTTCATGTAGGAAGGAACGGCATGTCACAAATCCTTTGAAACTCTCATGATATCATGATATTCAATGTCACAAGGCCTTCGAGCTCTCATTTCAAACTGCGACCTGCCGCCCCGTCCCACCTGGGATTGTACGCCAAACTCGCTCCTTCTGCTTCCCACCCCAGATAATAAATCCCCTTCGCTCCTTCCCTTCCAAACCACCGCTCGCTCTAAAAGTACGAATCCAAGTTGCCTCGTAGCCATACATTGTCCAACCCCCCCCCCCTTCCCCCATTCCCGCATTCCAATTCTATCCATTTAAAAAAAAACATATACAAAATCCAAAAATCCGCTGCACACGCAACCCCAATTTCCCCAAAAATCATCAAAAAGCATATAAATACACCTCCACAACCCCCGCACCCCATCCTCACGGCCACAGCTTATCCATATGCCAATCCCTCGGCCTCCCAAAAACCGTCGACAGCTCATCCCGGAACTGCACCCCCTTCTCCAACCCCGCGGCACTCTTACACGTCCCCGCCTCCACGCTCACAACCTGGCGCGCATACGCGATTCCCCAGGAAAATGAAGAGTCGCTCACGCCCGCGAACCGCGCCGCCTTCTCTAACACAAGATAGTCGACGAGGGCTTGCTGATCCCACGTCAACGCCTCTAACGCGGCTTTATCCGCTCCGACTAGCAAACCCCCCTTCGCCACCACTGTAGCGGGGGGGGATAGTTTCGCCGCTTCGATGGCGAAGAGTTCAAGCGACGTGGTGTTACCCGACGCCGCGTAGATGGTGCGGATAGGACTAGCGGCGATGAAGGCGAGGTAGGCGGCGGTCTGCTCTTCGAAACTGGTATACCCGACGTTGACGGCGTCGATCTCGGTGCGGAAGTGCAGGCCGATGAAGGAGGTGTTTGAGACGCCGCGGTGGGGGAGGGGGGGGAGGGAGAAGCGCGTGAGGAGGGAGGTGAGGATGGAGAAGGCGAGGTGTTGGGTGTCGGTGCGGAATTCGACGAGGCGGCCGAAGTTGGCGACGAAGGAGGGGGGTCAGCACATACGGGTCTGAAGGGGGGGGTTAGTTTGTGCTCTGGTAAGGTGGGGGGAGGGGGGACGTACGTCTGCCCTGTTATCCGCGGCATGGTGATAACAGTGATTTTATCCTGGGCCTGGCGATTCAACTTCGCCCACGCAGTAAATGATAGCTGTACGCCCTGTTCCTTAGGTAAGTCCCAGGGCCGACCTACGCGGGCGATCTCTCCGACTCGCTCAACCTCTGCTAGGTCATTGTAGATAGGCATGTGGGGGCATGCGGAGCGGAGCCGCGCGTCGAACAGCTCGAGGTTGAAGAGGTATGACATGTTGTGAACCGGGCCGTTCTGGTATTCTATCAGCCCCTCAGAGCGAAGCATGATGTCTGGCCGGATCAGCGAGGCGCCGATCTCGATGGCCTGGCGCACGCAGACGAGGAATTCCTGGCGTACGTTGCCTGGGGGGATTGGGTTAGCTAGGAGCTTATCTGGGGTGATTGGGGAAGCATACCGACTCCGCCGACGCGCGCTTCGCAGTTGACGACGACATTCCGACTATCCGCCCACGATGACTTCGCGCACACCTCTCGTATAGGCGTCTCATCGTACTCGGCCAGCACAATCTCATCCGGTCTCAGCTCCGTGCTTCCCGATTTCACCGTTTCCACCGGCGACGCCGGCAGCGGCTTCGTCACCACTTCTTTCCCTAAATCCTTCACCTCGCCGTCCTGAAACGACGGGACCAGCCGCACATGCTCGCCGCCGGACCACAACCAGTACGAAGCACAGAGGAAGAAGGAGATAAACAGGCTCAGCACGAGGGTGATGCTGCGCCGTTTCTCGAGGAGGGGATACATGGCGTCGTCGCAGACACAGCGGGTAAGAGTGCGGGCGGCTGTCTCACGGTAAGTAAGTTAGTTACAGGAGAGAAAGAAAGAAGAAAGGCGGGTAGTGGCAGTACATCTTCAGTGATATAGATGTGATATATATGTGATATATATGTAAATAGTAAATATTGTAAGTCATAAGTTGGAGTGTTTGAGAGTAAAATAAGCCGGTTTAGAGATGGGAAGTCGACAGGAGTACTTACTTTGACACTAATCCTAATTGATCCCACCTGATTCCTTCCTGGACGCTAAGTTAATGCCAAAAATGTGACAGGGGTGACAGGGCGGTGACAGGGCGGTGACAGGGCGGTGACACGACGAAAGACACGTGTCCCAGGCACCACCAAGACAGTCAATGATCCCTCAGGCACCAACTTCTCCTCTCAGCTCACGACTTGGCTACTTTTTCGCATCGTCGTCGACCCTTCTTTCTTTTCTCCCATCGCATCGTCATGTCGTCGCCCTGAAGGAGAGAATTCACTCACTTCATACCCTACAACGCATATGTATCCATCCTATTCTATGACGCCCTGACACGAACGATAATCGAACCCTACTCGCACCTGTCATTCAACCCCGAGCGCCCCGGATTCCAGGACCCTTAACACCCCCCCCCCCTCCCCACGACCACCTCGACCACAGCAGTCTCGCACTCACCCCCCACCCACGATGTCGAAATCCTGGCTCTCCGAAGCCACCAACCTCCAGCTCCCCTCTGCCGCCCAAAACACCAAACAATACATCTCGCAATGGATACACAACAAGCGCTTCGTCCGACTCGTCGCCGCGTCCTTCACCTTCCTCGTCATCGGCCTGCTCTACTACAACACCCTCACCGGCACCGTCCCCGCCCTAGTGCCCTCGTCAAGCATCATCACCCCCCCGGCCGCCCCCGCCGCGCCAGCGGGGCCAAAATACGCATTCGCGACCCTGCTGTCGCCGAACTACCTCGAGAATGTCGATCAGACCGATATCGAGAGCGATGAGTACTTTCTCTCGACGCGCGTGCTGAATTACCAGCTGCGCACGTCGAATCACACTAGATACGCGGACAAGAATGTGCCGTTCATCGTTATGTGCCCACCGAATGTCGCACAGAATAAGCGCGATATCCTCGCGGCGGAGGGCGCAACGATTGTCGCCGTCCCGCATATCATGGCGGATTGGATCAAGGTCCCTCTGCCGACGTGGGTGGAGATGCTGGATAAACTGCTGCTGTGGTCGTATACCGAGTATGACCGTATCCTATACCTCGATGCGGATGTGTATCTCGTCGAGTCGCTGAATGGGATTTTCGAGGACGCGGCGGCGCAGGACCATGAGGTGAGCGTGGAGAAGACGCATGAGAATGATGTGGGCAAGCTGCCCAAGCAGTATACAATTGCGGGAGTCGTGGATGGAGGATCGGGAAGCCGCGAACATCCTATGAGTGAGAACTACATGAACGCGGGCTTCTTCCTGATCGCCCCGGATCAAATGCTCTACAAGCACCTCATGGCGTTCGTCGACAGCCCCGACAGCTTCTCAGTGAGCATGATGGAGCAGAACCTCATCAACGACGTCTTCAAACAGGACGGCCCGATGCCATGGAAGAAGATGGACCCGAAGTGGGACACGAGTTGCCCGGAGCCTGAGGATGTCAAGAAGGGGTATAAGACGATTCACAGTAAGCTGTGGAAGGTGAAGGCGTCGCCGTGCGATATCGATCCGGTTATTGGGCGCATGTGGTATAAGACCCTGGGACACATGGAGTCGCATTATGCGCAGATTCCGTTGAGATGAGCGGATGGGGGGTGTGGTTGAGTTAAGAGTTAAAAGTGATACTGGGAGAGCGGGAGAGGGGAAGGGAACGGGCGTCGAGGGGGAGGGGGCGGGGTAGGAGAGATAAACAATTAATTTGGAGTCGCGCGGTTGTACGATTATCTAGGGGAAAGGCGACGGTTTGGAGAGAGAGAGATGAGCCATGAGCGCAGCGAGCGAGCGAGGCAAAGCAAGGTGTATATTTCATCAATGTCCGGCGTCGGCGAGCGTTTTCTTTATAAATTTTCGATTTTCGATTTTCGATTTTCTTTCTACCACAACCACAGATGGGCGCGGCATGCTGATGGGTGGGTATGCAAGGCTGGGAAGATAAACGATGTTTATGTAGACGTATATAGGTCAATCCAGATGTGAACCGAGAGAAGAGCGGCGTCGCTCATGCTGTTGCTGTTGCTTCAATTGTGATGGTGATGGTGATGGTGATGGTGATGGTGATGGTGATGGTGATGGTGATGGTGATGGTGATGGTGATGGTGATGGTGATGGTGATGTGACGCGCCGTGATGTGCTTGTTAACCTGAGCCAAAATATGAAGCCTCCTCCCATACAGCACAATCGACAACCGACATGACGACCAAGAGGACAACATGAGGCTCCTCTGCTGTGCGACCAGTCGCTTCTTTATACTGTATACCGTAACCAAACGTAAGCCACGCCGGAGGTGATGCTGTATACCGTAACCCTCCCATCACCCATACCATCCATTTCTCGCTTGGATGCCTGCCATTACAGGCCGCAGCGGCTATCGGCACGTTTCTTGGTGTGAGTAGATCCAGCGAGTTGGACGCCGAAATCGCATGGCGCTATTCCGTGGAGCAGTAGCTAGCTCTCCCATGATGGCGTTGGCGTTGGTTTTTCTCCGCTTTCTTAGCCTTTTTTAAACTCTTGGAGGGAGGGGAGGGATGACTCGATCCAGACGGCTTGGCTACTTTCTTTGAGATATTTTTGCGGAGTTTGTTGTATATATATATCCTTCTTTGACGCTGTTGCTGCTGGTCGATTACGCTGAGGGAATATATACTGAGGACTGGGGACTGAGGACTATATATACGACACCTCTTATCCGAATCACCAAGCCGCGCCCTTCTCCTCTCCCTCATCGAACGATACCGGGGAAATGATACTGGCAGCACCCACCTGCACCACCACCAGCCTTCCCTTCCGACAATGACCACCGCCGCCGCCCCCTCCACCTCCCAACCCCACCACGACGCCAAAGCCGCAGACGACGACCAACTGACCACCTACCTCGCCTCCACAACTGACACCGGGAAAACCCTCGTCGGACTCGCGCCCCTCGCCGCGCTTCCAGAGCCAGATGTTGCGCCTGATGGGGGGTATGGCTGGGTCGTCGTAGCTTGCGTTTTTATGATCAATGCGCATACTTGGGGTATCAATTCAGTATGTCCCCTCTCCCCCTAACCCCCACCACCCTTTCCCAACACAGTGAAGAGTGAGCACACCAGCTAACCCCCCCCACCAGTCCTACGGCGTCTTCCTCTCCTACTACCTCCAACACGGCTTCTTCCCCGGCGCCTCCCCCCTCGAATACGCCTTCGTCGGCGGCCTCTCCATCGCCATGTCCCAAGCCGTCTCCCCCCTCGCCACCTACCTAATCCGGCGCTTCGGGATCTACATCCCCCTCCTCTCCGGCATCGTTCTCCAAACATCCGCCCTCCTCGGCGCCTCCTTCGCAACCTCCATCTGGCACCTTTTCCTCTCCCAAGGCGTGTGTTTTGGGCTCGGGATGGGGTTGATTTTTAATGCGACGGTGGGGTTGATTCCGCAGTGGTTTGATAGGAGGAGGAGCTTTGCGAATTCGATTGGTACGGCGGGGAGTGGGATGGGGGGGCTGATTTACTCGTTGGCTACGCAGGCGATGATTGAGTCTCTTGGGTTGGGGTGGGCGTTTAGGATACTGGCGATTTGCTCATGCGCCGTGGTTTGCACTGCCACCCTCCTCATTCGCGATCGCAATGTGGCGGTGGGAGCGATATACAACGCTTTTGACCTCCGTCTCCTCCGGCGTCCGCAGTTCTTGTTGACCCTCGCCTGGGCCTCCATCAGCATGGTCGGCTACGTCAACCTCCTCTTCTCCCTCCCCAACTACGCCGTCAGCATCGGCCTCACCGCCACCCAAGCTTCCATCGTCGGCGCGATTCTCAACCTGGGGCAAGGCATCGGACGACCGCTTATCGGGTATTTTAGTGATTCCTTGGGACGGATCAATATGTGTCTCTTCTGCACCCTCGGCTGCGGCGTTCTCTGCTTCGCACTATGGATCCCAGCCGAGAGCTACGCCCTCCTCCTCGTCTTCGCGCTCCTCGGCGGCGGCGTAGCAGGAACGCTATGGACTACCGTCGCGCCTGTTACCGCAGAAGTAGTAGGCCTATCTATCCTCCCATCAGCGCTGAGTCTCGTATGGGTATCCCTCGTGCTACCGAGTACGTTTGCGGAAGTCATTGCGCTGGAGTTGAGGAGGGATCACAAGCCGGTTTATAGGGATGCGCAGGTGTTTACGGGCATGATGTATGTTGGGGCGGCGATGAGCTTGTGGTTTGTGAGGGCGTGGAAGGTGAGGGATATAGAGAAGGAGAGGGTGGAGAAGGAGGGGGCGGCTCGGGAGGGGCTGCAGAGGACGAGGAGTGTGGCGAGGAGTGTGAGGAGTGTGGCGGAGGCGTCGAGGGGGTTGTGGGTTTGGACGAAGGTGTAGGGGGGAGGGGGGAGATGGTAATATTGGAGATATGGAGGTGGGCATATATAATGAGCCACATATCTACGGTGCATCGACACCATAAGCATAACATAATAATCTAGCCATAGCAAACATAAACAAGCACCTGGAATATATGACTACTACTCTTCATCTTCTCCCTCCCTCTAGTGCATATAAAAAAGAACTCTAGATATCGGATCAACTTTTCCTCTCCGCCCCGAACCTGCTCTAGCGCACGTCAGACTCTAATTTAGGCTCCTTTATCCTGACCAAGTTGCGGGGAACAACGAGCAGGGTTAGAAAATCAATTATAATCATGATTATTATGATTATTTGTGCTAACCCTGACAACGAGGATCCCACCTCTATTTCTAGTTTGGACAATTTATCATCTTTGCCAAAATGCCATTCTGCAATTAAAAAATCCCAAGGTAATTATCTACCACCACAGACAACAATAACGGCCCAACCTGCACAACCACAAACATATTAACCTACTTACCCCACCCTCCATAGGCAAAACAACGACCCTGCACCCACCCTCTTTCCACCAGTAAAACCCAACGATCGAAGCTTAACATAAAGAAGAACGCCTGCCACGCCCGCATGCGCGCTGGTAGCTCGCATCGCCAGTCCACCGGTTCTTCATGGACTCATAGGACGGCAGGGAGTGCTGGCCGGGCATCCGGGTGCGGGGGAATGGCTGGACGGGGGGACGTTTGTGTTAGTCCGTATACGTGCTAGCTGGCGAATCAGTGGTATTTGCAGCATCTGTAGGTAACTTGTGGTGAGGGGTTGGGGAGGGCGGGTAGGAGGAAGATAGGGGTGGTTTAGTTTGAAAATAGGGGAGGGGGGTGGTTTCGTTAGGAGGCAGTTCGATGAAGAACCGCCAGCCCGGCCGTTTATTCTTGAGCAGTCTGGGCAGGTGGGGATTCAGACTTAAGGTACATAAATTCAAGGGACGTAGATAATCTGCATTCTTCGATTGGATGGTTTGAATGTCCGTCGTCTGAAGTTGGGTCGCAGCTGCGGGGACGGGACGGGTCGTAATTGTGATTGTCGTCGTGAACCGTAGCGCAAAGGATACATATAGAGGTATGGCTACGAGAATGAAGTTTGAAAGGCCCATCTATTACCAAACATATTGGTAACCATCACTATATAGTAAGAGAACTGTTGTCCCACGGCGTGCCACGTCGGCGAAATTATGCTGTGACACATGACCAGCATTAGTAGAATATAAGTTATGTAGAATATATTTCCTTCCACTCCAACAAGTTATCAACGGATTATTCAGAAACTCGGACTGCCTAACGTTATATCAAAACCCTTTATTACAATAAACAATAAATAAGCCCATCGACTTTCACGTGCGCATTCTTCATCTCCATATTAAAATTGTCGTCCTTGTTTATGATCACGCACCGCCTTATCTTATCTTATCGCATTGCCTAGCCAACCACGTCGGACTCGCAATTTCTAGAATCCACACGCACACTCCAAACATAACACTAAACTCTAGCTCACTTTATATAATATCAACACAATCTCATATGATTTCGCCCGTTCCTTCTTCCACCACCACCATCGTTCTGTCGTCACATACCTATATTCGCGCATAGCCATACATCTATACTCAGCTCTTGCATTGCTATCCACACGACTTGGGCTAAGCTGGTCCATTCGGAGTGTCCAGAACAATATAACTTCATCCCGCCAAGAGAAAAGGCCTAGACACCCCAATATGTTCACCCGAGGCAGGTCGAAAGATCGTACCTTAAGGAAGGTGACTCCGCCATCTGCGTCCTACATGTCGAACGATCAATTCGGTTTGAAACCCCCCGCACCCCTTTTGCCCCTCCCGCGCCCATCCACGTTCTGGAACCATTCTGACAGCACCAAAAAGCAAACTACCTCGCCGAGCTTCGAGACAACCGCATTGCCCGCCCCGGAGGTGCCCGCCCTGCCCCTGCTCCATCCAACAGCCGCATGAGCCTTGACCAAAGCGCCTTCAAGACATACTGCCTAGCCCCGGCCGCCCCCAGCCCAGTCAACGAAGCCCCAGCACGCGCCGAAAGCATCATCTCCCACCGCCGCGCGCGCTCTTCCATGTCCATATCCTCACGCACCGGCCGCGCCCTCGTCCAGCCCCCCGCCCCATCCGGACCACCACTTAGCGCCAACGTCGTTGTTCCCAGCGCGACATATATGGTGCGCGGCCAACGCTGGATGGAGCGCGAGGAGATGACGTCTCTCCGGGACGCGCTTGAGGATATGGATACCAATGAGGAGCTCGAGGCCGAAATCAAACTGCAAGCCGCCGCTCAACAGGAAGCCTCGGACCTAGTATGGAAACACCAGAATCCCCAGCCTGCCCCTGAACCGGACGCGCCCTACCGGTACCGCGACCACATGCGCAAGAACAGCTACCAGCATGCACGCGCCCAGAGCATCGGACCCTACACTGGACCTGATGCGGTTCCGGTTCTAGGATTGCCTACGAGATCTTTCTCCAACGGCTCGAATGTCAGCTCCACGCACCACGATCGCGTCTCCAGCGGCTCCTCCGATTCGGACGCCCACCCGGCCCAGCGACCCGGCCAACGCGTTTCCTTCGACGAGCCGCGTGGTCGTGACCCCGGACCGCGCAAGGGCGCCAAATCCTACGGGTCACTCGCACACACCATTGGACACGCCCCATCGCGCCGCCGGACCAGCGGGAAGCGCAATATCAACGGCGAATTCCGGTCCTCCTTCACTACGGACCAAATCTGGGAGGAGCCAGGCGCGAGTAATGACGAGGCGGCTAAGGCGGCTGCGATAAAGGGGTCGGCGGATGCGCCGGCGCCGCTGAGGGTTAAGCCAAGGAATCCGCTGAATAGAGTGCAGTTCGAGGCTGATCCCGCGGCGCCGCGCGCGGCAAGCACGCCACCTCTCGAGCTCAAGCCTAGAGAGCGGTTCGAGATCTACAAGAACCCCCCCTCGCAGAGCCGAAGTGCAGGGTACACCGCCAACCCCGCCCCCGCCACCCCATCCGCAAACACCCCAGCCGACGCCCTCCAAACCGCCGCTGCGCCCTCCGCATCTTCTCCCACCAGTGACGGCCGCGAGATCCGCAGCCACGACATCCGCACAGCGACGACCAAGTCCCTGCGTGACCGCAGCCCGCTGCTCCCCACGCCCAGCGCCGTCTCCGACGCGCCCGGGCGGCCCATCGTAAGCTTTGACCAGACGTGGACGCCGCCTTCGGCGGCGGCGAAGATTAAGACTGAGGCTGATGTGACGCCAGCTGCTGACTATCGACGACCAAGGGTCGAATCGAAATTCGAGGCCACGAGACCCGTCCGCAAAATCGGGGGCCCGAGAGAACCGGCCGGGAGGGCTTATGGGGGCGATAAGGAAGTTGTCGGGGCCGTTGGGGGGGGTCGTGGGGGGGTTGAGGCATTCGTCGAGGTAAAGGGGGGGAGGATGGGGGAGCAGAGGGGTGGAGTTAGGGGAGGAGTTACAGGTGCGAGAGAGCCTTTGGTGAGTACGCCGAGTAGTCCCGATGTTATGGTTCGCGAGGCGCCTTCGGTTTTAGTGCCTGCGCCGCCCACGATTTCGGTCGAGAAGGCGCCGGCTATCTCGGTTAGTTCCGCGCCTTCGATATCCGTCTCCCAACTGCCATCGATTTCTGTTTCTAGCCCACCTGCCATCTCCGTCTCGGCGCCGCCAGCAATTTCCGTATCGGGGCCACCACCATCAATTTCCGTTTCCGGCCCACCACCAATCTCTATCTCAGAGCCGCCGGCAATTTCCGTCTCTCGCCCACCAGCCATCTCAGTCAATTCAGCGCCAACGATTTCCGTCTCCACGCCACCAGTCCCCTCTATCGTGGAACCCTCTACCTCTTCCCGCCCGACTCCCCGCGCTCTTCCTGACCCTAAAGTCCTCGCCCGCAACAAAGATCCCTTTGCGCGTCCTAACCGCATCTCCACAAGCCACTGGTCTCCCGCCCCAGCTCCCGCCGGCGCCCGCGCAACCGCAACCTGTCACTACTGCCGGCATCCCATAGCTGGGCGCGTGATAGCACTCGCTGGCCATGCGGAACGCTGGCACCCGGGCTGCTTCTCCTGCCACTGCTGCCGCACCCAGCTCGCTGATTTCGAAATCAAGCCCGAGCCTGAGGCGGAGCGTGCCGCGAGGCTAGATCGGGTTACAAGGCGGCGAGGTGGAGAGGTTGTGGAAGGCGATGATGAGGGTGGTGCAAGGGTACAGGATGATGGCGATGAGAGGTTAAGGTTTTACTGCCATCTCGACTGGCACGAGTTGTTTGCCCCAAGGTGCCGCCACTGCAAGACCCCGATCGTAGGCTCGCATGTCTTCGCCATTGGCGCGCACTTCCACAGCGAGCACTTCTTCTGCGCAGAGTGCGGCGACCCATTCCCACCTGGTAGTGCGCACGTAGAGCTGGAGGGGTACGCGTGGTGCACAGAATGCGTGGCTGTACGGACGGAGCGGCGCGCGCCGAAATGCGGGCTGTGCAAGAAGCCGGTTGTGGGACGCGTGGTGGGTGCGCTGGGGAGGGAGTTCCATGAGGGTTGCTTTCGGTGTGGGGAGTGTGGAGGGGGGTTTGGGGATGGGGAGATCTTTTTGAGAGAGGATGTGGGGGTGGCGTGTCGGGAGTGTATGGAGAGGGGGTTGAAAGCTTGAGGGGGGGGGGGGGGGGGTGATAATCACTCTTTATGTCTGTCTCGTTTGTGGTAATACGTTCGTCTTTATGATATTTCTTTGGGTCGCATGGGTGGAAGCGTGGCGCGTTTTGCGTCTGGACACAGTCATTTTATTTGGATGGGGAAAAGCATAGGAGGTTGTAGCAATGATTGTGGGGTAGCGAGGGGACTGTTATGGTCTCGGATAGAGCTTAATTGGGGAAGTAATGAAATAAGATGATGTTGATGATTTAGATCTTGGATATTATGTATGTGATCGGATGGGTGAGAGTTGCTGTTCTACTGTGAAACTGTTGGAGAGGTTTCAATATTAAAAGCTATGTTAAAAGCCATGGACTATGCATTACACTGGGTATATGGCCCCCCAATGCCCTCTAACACCTAATCAAGGAATCTCCTCATAAACCACATCATCCGCCCCGGCGGCATCAAAAAATGCGGGGGCACTTCCTCGGGTAACTGCCTCTCCTCCGCCCACTTCCTAACAGCCTCATAATCCCGGCACTTATGCTCGGTATTGAAATCAACAGAAGCACTCGGATCCTCACGGAATGTCCATACTTGCCCCAGCACGCCCACATCAACCGCACACATGAGCTGCTGGTGCAGAATGTCGAGGAAGTGCGTAACATGAAAGCGGACGATGTGGTCATCGTTAGAGAAGGCGCCGGCACCAAGGGCGTGGTAGTAGTCGTAGTTGTAGTAGAGGGCCCGGCGTAGTAGATTCAGGCAGTGCAGGGGTAGCCGACGCCGTAGCGGGGAGAGATGTGGACGTGGGTTTTGGGGGTGAGGCCGGAGCGGGGGCCGTCAGAGGGGGAGACGACAAAGGCGCGGTCTGAGGGAGGTTAGTGGAGCTGAGGAGAGGGGTGTCAGAGAAAAGGGAGGCGGATTGGGAGGGACGCACAATCGGTTCCTAGGGAGTTCCAGGCTGCATCTACCTCTGGCCCATCTGGTTGGCGGAAGGCATTGAGCTTCATGAAGGAGCCATTGAAGCGTTGGGTTGTAGTGAAGACCGATCCCTTCTTTTACTATAGGTGCTAAGGGTTGATTAGCTGGAGTTATAGGTAGACAGGACCTCCATTATAACATACAGTAATGAGAGACATGCCCTCCGCAGAAGCTATCGGCGTCGAAAAGTCTACGGCTGCCAATCCAGATGCCGGCTATTTCTTCGTGTAATCATCGGCGCTCGACTGTGAGAGGAGGGTCTCACAGTCATCATTCTGGGGGATTTTGTTGAAACGAGCTTCATGTTTAGGAGTATGATCGAGCATCCTCTTTAAACCGTTAGAGTTCTTGAGTATGAAGATGCTTAATGGCATTTTGAATTATAAATAGAGGCGTGTGGAAGGCAGGGAAGAAATCTTCTTTTGAGATGTGTGTAATATGCACATGCATCAACTTCTTAATCTCAGTTCCGTATGAACGCTTTAATGGTCAAAATCAACCAACGTCAAGCGGCTAAAGGTTAAAGACGAATGTGCTGGCATACAAAGAATAATTTATTCTAGCCCTTACAATAATTGTTGGTTCTCAAACCACCGCCTGGAGGCGGTTGGCGAAAGCGAACTGGGACGCGAAAGCGATTATGGGACACTTCGGGAGCGGACTCGCGACGCGACACGACCGACCATGAACACGACCGACAACGTAACAATGCTGTAAATATATATAAGTTATAGAATTAAATAATTAAAAAAGATTTGGATCAATATTGTCAGGTAGTGATTGATCATCACTGCCACCGTCACTTGCATCGTGAATCATGTTGTAGTCCAAGCCTGCAAAGTTCATGTACCCACTCTCCGCGATGGCTAACAGTCAGTCCTTCTCCTCCTTCTCCTTACGTTTCTTCTGTGTAACGTCTGGGTCAATGATTTCCGTACGTAAGCCAATTGGTGGCTCCGTGTCTGGGTTACTTCTTTGAAATTCATGTAGGTCCTTTTTCCGTGTACGTTCTGCCTTCCGTGCATCAATGCCAGCACGGAGCTGCATCTTACGCTCAACGTTCACCATGCATCTTCTCTCTCTTTCCTCCCGTACTTCTTATAAAAGTTGCCCCTTTAGCTTCTTCTCATAAATCCTTTGCCGTGCATGTTTAACTGTAATAGCACCACCTTTTTGAATAGATTTCCGACTTCTAGTAATTTGTACAAGCTCTGACCGGAACAGCTCAGCCTCTAACTGAGTTTGGATTTCAGTATAAGAAGACGCCCACTTTCCGTGACGATGAACTAAGGATCTTATCAAATGTTTGACTCCATGTTGAAAGATCATAACTTGCTTTGAAATGCGCGTTGTGGTGTTTCTAAAACTTCTGGTTTTGCATATATAGCAACCTTCTCTTGAATCTTTTCATAGTTAGGTGGCCAAATACCTGCATCTCTAAAAGACTTCATACAGTTACCCTTTGTAAATGTCTGCTTACGGATAGTAGACAAGTCTCTAAAGAAAGATATAACATTATAATCTGTATCAAAATTCCGGATTGCTTGTTGAATTGCACGTCGGTGCCAATGTTTATATTGTGCAAACACAGTAACATCTAGCGGTTGTAGAATATGCGTAAGATGAGACGGAAACACATGTAAGTGTATATTGTGTTGATGTGCAAGTATTATAAACTCTGGAACTTCATGTGAGATATGAGAGTCCATTATTAACAATTTCGTTCTTATAGACAGTGTATGTTGAATAAAATGCTGTAGATATTCCATTGCAAGCTCAGAGTTTGTATATCCGGAATCGGATACTGCAACTTTCTCATCACCTTGTAGATTGTCATGGTACCAACTTTCCATGTGTAATTTTCCTTGTATAATAAGGAATGGTGGAAGTGCAATGCCAGCAGCTAAAATTGTCTCTATAACTGTAAGACTTTGTCTGTTCTCTGGAGCTTGTATATAAAGCTATAAATATTAGAATAATATAAAGTAAGATAAGTAGAAACAACTTACCTCCTTTACTGTAGATGGTACCAACACATGTTCACCAGTGCTCATTCCTACACCGAATCCAACTTCATCAAAGTTGTAGATATCACCTGCAGTAATATCTAGTTGATTACACACATCTTTAAATTCATAGAACCATTCTTTAATAGCTGATACTTCATGAGATGTAACCCGTGCTGCTTCAATTGGCTGGGTTTTTATTGTATGGAAGTTGTGTTGTTGTGTCTTAATCCATGTCTGGAACCACCGTTGTGACGGTGGTGCACGTGTTGGAGTTTCTGCTGCACGTAGTTGGCAGATGCACTGAACACCATAGGCTTAGTTGCACCATACCCATTTTCATATGAGCGTTGGATGTATCTTTGTATAGCTGTAACTTGTACATCAGACAGTACTCTGTTCTGGCCTTCGCGTGGCACAGCGGTGCGTTGTGGTGATGCGTGTCGTTGTCGTTGTCGTATAGTCCGGAGTGTACTTGGGTTTACTCTGTACATCCGTGCTACTGTAGCACTCTTCTCTGTTGGGTTTTCATTTAAAAATTCAATGGCATTTAAAAGAGCTTCATTTTTATTTATTTCAACTACCGGCATAGTTGTGGTTGTAGTTGTGCTCGTTGTCAGTCGTGTTCATGGTCGGTCATGTCGCGTCGCAAGTCCGCTCCCGAAGTGTCCCATAATCGCTTTCGCGTCCCAGTTCGCTTTCGCCAACCGCCTCCAGGCGGTGGTTTGAGAACCAGCGATTACATCTCAAATTTGATCAAGTGATGACTTTCGTGCCTATTAAGAATCAAAAGTTAATATCTACCCTTCGTACGACTCTGTATATGTTGATTGAAATGCTTAATCTAATCAAGCCCTTGCTTTGACGTAACAGCAATAACCTAATTTGACGGCAGAGAAGCGTTTTCATACCAAGACAAAAGGTGATTTTTCCCTACAACAATAATAAATGGTATCCGTACGATCTAAGGCCTTGAATCACTGTAATCCATTCCCTATTGCCTTGCTATGTCATACGAGGTCTGCTCTTTCATTTAGCATTCGTTACAACCATCTTAGATGATATTTAGCCTATTAAAAATCCTGTCTCGTCAAAGTTGTATATGTCCTCCTTAGACTGGCCGGCCCGGACCGTAAAGACCGGACTGGACTGGACCGGACCGCTTATATGAGTGTTCCAGTCCTTAAATTTAAGACCGGACCGTGGTTCGGTCCTCCTTTTTTTAAAAAGCCCGGACTGAATTTCAGTCTAGTCTCTAGGGTTAAGACCGGACTGTGGTTCGGTCCTCCTTTTTTTCAAAGCCCAGACTGAACTTCGGTCCAGTCTCTAGGGTTAAGACCGGACCGTGGTTCGGTCCTCCTTTTTTTCAAAGCCCGGACTGAACTTCGGTCCAGTCTCTAGGGTTAAGACCAGACCGTGGTTCGGTCTAGGCTTTTTTACCATCCGAGCTTTTTTTTAAAAAGCCCGAACTGAAGTTTAGTATATTTAGCTTGTAGATCACGATGTTAGTCCTGTGACCAAGAGTAATGGTATATAGTAACGGTATATTGATAGAAATTAGGATAAATTTATCATATAGATAATAAATTATGGTAATTACATTAGAGTTATAAGTGCCGTATGTCTCAGAATGCATCAGCTTACAGTGGCTTCCCTACCATCACCACCACCGCCATCGCACACAGGTTTGTGTCGACTTTGGGAGGCCAGCCTTCCTACCACCTAGCGCAAAGGTTGGTATCTATCGCAGTAGTTAACATAATATATTGTTCAAGCTGGTTCCAAATGCTATATAAGGCTAATTAGTGATATATTCCGTTACTGTGAGCCGTTACTCTAACCCACATCTGAATAGTACCCTCCTCTACCTTCTAAGTCGTTGCGAATGTCGAGGAGTATCAATGGAGGCTTCATCATTCTGAAGGTCCTTATTTAGAACCCCAAAATTTCGCTTCCTCTGAGTTTCCAATCTTCCATTGCGACCTTGTGTAGCTCTATGTGGCGTTGATGGGTCTGGTAGGTCTTGTTCAGCATCCTCCTCATCAGATGATATTACCATCGTCATAGCAACTTGTCGATCAGAGTCCTCAATTATAGAGTCTGGGTCAGGAGCGCCAAATACATGGTCTATATTATCCCAATGATTATCAAGTTCCCACTTATACCTATGATAGTGTTTAACAATCATCGACTCTCGAACTGTAGCCGTACTCATTTGTGCCCTGTGGTATTCATGGATATCGCGGGCAATATTAAATATGCGCTCAACTCCAGTACCAGTAGCTGTTTAAAGCGATTTGTAAGATATTTGCGTTACTCTTAACCGTTACTGTAGGAGCTTACCTGGTACTGCAAGGATATCCCTTGCCATCTTCGCAACTGAAGGGTAAGAGAGCTCTAAGGTCTTCCACACTAGGAGCACTGGAGTATCTGCATCAGCACTAACCACTGGCGCATTTAAATAACGCTCAGCTTCATTATAGCTGGTACTTGATGGGCTCTGCCACCCTTTATGTAGCTGCCGGTTCATCCGAAATACCGCATTAAGACTTGTTGGTGTATAGGGGCAAGGCGGTACTGCCTCATGCTGGTCCCTCGAATCTTTTTGATAGTAAGCCTTCCAGTAATCTAAGAATATTTGGCGGTACTTCTTTGAGTGGGAACGGTCCCATTCAGGAGCGTTAAAAATGTCCAGTTTCTGAGATGGATCAAGAATTGCAGCAAGAGCATACGTCTGTTCAACAGGACCACCAGTTTCAGTATAATAGTGCCTTAACTTTGCAACACCTGCAGTAATAGCAGCAGTAAACTCGTCTACCCAAGGATTAGATGCTGTATCCTTGTTATATAGCTTTTGATTAATATCATCAAGATGGTCAAATAATGTATTGTATACATTCCATGTATGGTTGATTGTAGTGTCTTTCGTGTTTCCAATAAGATGAGTAAATTCTGCAAAGGGCCGCAGAAGAGCGACTAAGTATTTTAGTTTTTTCCAGTCGGTTGGTGATAATGCGAATTGATCAAGATGAGGCTCCTTAATAATCTGTTCCTCAAGCCAACTTTTAATTGGGATGCGTAGTCTTATCGCTCGGACTATCATGTCATATGTAGAATTCCAGCATATATCAATATCCCGTTTTAGCCGCAGTAGTCTCTTTGCTTCTATATCAGATTGCTTCTGGAGCAATAATTCAGTTTTCTTTGCAGACCTGCTCACAAGATTGCTAAGAGTGCGTATCTGTGTATTTGACGTCAGTTAGCGTTACTATCAAGCGTTACTATCATGGACTAACCTTTCTAATAGCTGATGTGACTGTCGTATCATCAGTAATTGAAACACCAGTAACATCTATAACTTCTTCAGC